ACGAATGATTACTTGTAGTGGTTGTGGGGTGACGATGGCGAGAATGATCATGGAGGATGAGGGCAGCCAAGGGTGGAGTCAGGTCAAGTAAAGTCAAGAATACTTGGCAGACAAACCCTGCGAAAGAGAAACCGTCCGTCTACCAAAAAGAGAGAGAGGAGGGAGAATGGCAGACACGGCGGAAAGGGACAGATGGAAATGGATGGATTATCGAGGGTTAATAGTCGAGGGTATATGTGACGGAGGGTGATAGTTCAATTTGTGGTCGACGACCGACCGGGGGTGGGGGCGTTCGGCGGGCGGTGCGGTGGATGGGCAGTTACTCTGGGGCGGCTGACCGTGGCGATCCCAAGCAAGGGACCAACCAAGATATGTGGGTGTCGGAGAAGTTGGTCGACTAGGAAGAATGGCAAAGAGGGGAGAAGGGAAGGGGGTTTGGATCTGTTTTTTTCCTCTTTCTCTCTTTCTCTTTTCTCTTGGTAAGATGACTGATGACGATGTAACGCGATTTGGGAGGCCCCGCGTGCCAAAAAGTCGCCAACGGTATTAAGGTTTCTGGTGTGCCAGTTTCCCCCAATGAAAAGAATGTATGTCTCAAACCAAGTTATTCAGTGGGACAGGTAGGATCCCGAAGGGTAAGGGAGAGGGGCGAGAAAAAAAAAGATGAAAAAAAGTTGGCAGCGAAAGAACAGTAAGAGGATTGGCCAGGTGCCGTGGTCTGGTGTTTGGTCTCCGATCTGATGTTTGTGCTTGTGTGTATGTGCGTGTGATTCGTAAGTCGGTCGGCACTATGAGCGAACTGCTGCTGTGTGTTGGATCGAAACAAGCTGACTGTGATTTGATGGTCGTGATTGATGTGTCATGTGGTGTAAACCTCTCGTGCTGGCTGAATGGCAAAATACAATAAAAATTAAGCTGTACGTGGTAGAACGGCGGCCGATGGCTCTCTCTTGCAAAGCAATAGCGGCAGGTAGAAAATAATTCAAACTCCAACAGAAGATACGAGAGGACAGTAGGCTCTTTCCGAATAAAAAAAAAAGAATAAAAAGAAGAAGACAATGGTAGCGACTGATGAAATATAGCTGCAGGTAGAGTGATGACTGCGTTCCAGAGGAGACTGTGACGGCGGGGGAAAACCAACGAGTGAATATGGGAGGGTAAGAGAGGAACGAGAAACAAGAGAGAGAAAAAGGCCCAAGCTTAATAATGACTACAAAGACACAGATTTAATGCAACACTGGGGAGTGGGTGGTAGTAAGTAAGGCAGGCCGCGTGAGGCTGAAAGTCGGATCAACGCAGGACAAGCGGTCAGTCATCAGTACGAATGTGTCGAATGAATATGCCCAAGTGACAAAGCAAAGCGGCATATGGAATGGAGAGAAGGGGGGCAGAAAGAAGCTAGTTTCCAATAAAATTGTCTCTGTGAGACCAACATGAAGAGCGGAGCAAGAAAAGACAGAGAGTGTGTGTAGGAAGTAGGAGAGGGATATGATCTTCAGGCAGGTCTCAGCCTGTTTAGCTTGTGCATGGTTGGATGCCGCCGTTAGACAACAGCGAAGAGAGGAGGAGGTGCGTGAGCTGGCAAGACAAAATCCACACGATACTGTAAGGTAGGGGGTGGGGTTTTGTTTCTAAACATGACCCCCCTGTAGTGATGTACACTGTAGCACCAAGAGTACTGCTCTACTTGTCTAAGGTACAGATATCAGTGCGCACATACTATAAAGGTACATGCAGTACATGCAGTATAGCACCACCACCAGTGAGGTCCGGGCGTACTACCTCGAACCACCCACCAGCCCGCAGCACATGCTTGCCTTGGACGGCAATACTTCGTCACACCTTCTTTTTTTGTTTCCCTCGCCTTTCTCGCTGCAGGACTCGGCAATAGTTGCTCTACAGAAACACGCAAGGTATTCTATTCTCCCTGATCAAAACCTGAGAGAGAAAAAGAAAAAGTAAAGAAGAAGGGAAAAAGAAAGAGCTGAGAGAGAGATGATGATGATGATAGTAGTAATAATAATAATAATAAGAAAAATCAGAAAACAGCCCCTAGTACCAGGTACTTTGACCTACGAGACAAAACCCGTTCAAGAAACGGCCCCGTATCCAAAGCAAAGCCCCGTTGCCTGTTGTGGTTACTCCTTCTCTCCCTCCTTCGCCCTAGGTATCCGATCGACGTCCAACTGAGAATGGGGAATGGCGGCGTTACGAGTCTAAGCCAGAAAGAAGACAAAAAAAAAAAAAAAAAAGGTCAAGCTGTTTTCCCCCTTTTCTTCTCATTTTTTGCTCTTTCCTTCCCCTTCTCAGCTGACTCGGGGTGCAATAATTTGGTTTTGTTGGCCACATCAACAACAAAAAGGTTGGTTTTGCAAGAAGCGACCTTGCGTCGTCAGCGGTTAATTGAGGAGACGCCGCTAGAATTCGAAACCCGGAAAGACCCAGAGTGAACCAGCTTCAGGTATGTCTGGGTGGAGTCAAAAGAAAGAGAGAAGGAAAGAAAGAAAAAAAGAATGAGGTCCACTCCTCTCTCGCTCTCTAACGAGGATTGCGCTGTTGGTACACGAGGCAGACACACATGTCCATCCTTTTTTCTCTTTTCTCCATTTTCTGCTCCCCTTTTTTCTTCTTCATATCACATCCAAACCTCTCGAGAACCACTAGAAAAACAACGTACCCGTTAGTTGGGGTCGGCGATCTCCAGGGCCGGGGATTGCTGGCGGTCGAGAAAAAAAAGAATGGTCCCGAGCTGAGCCACCCTCGGCGGAAGACAAGTTGCTTGGCCCTGACTAAACCTCTACAACAAGGTTTGACGCCTGAGATGGAGGCGTGGAGCCCTGAGCACCGTTGGGGTCTTGTCGATCTCCTCTTCTCGTCCCGACATGACGGAATGTTCACCTTTCCTTGCCCCTGCAAAAAAAATGGACCGGGGGGAGGGGAGAAGCAAAGCACCCCCAGGAAAAGAGGAGGAGGAATACGAAAGTCACTGTTCGTCCACACCTTTGACCCATCCTACTACTTCATGCTACCTACCTGTTACATAGTATGGGTGGGTTTTGGATGTACCTGCATGAACCAAGATCGCATGACATTGCTTCTTTCACTGGATTTTTATTTTATTTTAAGATTCCTCCGTTGTAGACGAACCCTTTTTCAGGCAAAAGTCCTATGGTATTTTGATTCTAGTTGGTCCTTTTATTGAGAAGGAGAAGGGGGGGGGGGGTTAGGTTAAAATTCCCAAAGGAGGATTTCTCGTGGCCCTTCGGAAGGAAGCCCAAAAAAGTGCGGGACCAATTTTATTCTGTTTCTCTTTTCAACTGACCCGGGATTATTTGTTCCAAGAGAGAGGAGTGAGAGCCTGCTGCAGCGGCACTAGAGATTTCTTGATTTTTTGTATCGATACGCATACAGACACACACACGCACACAAACAAGCACGCACACCTGTCTCAGAAATCACCGGCCAAGTATTGTCGGTCAAGATGAGATGGTCGGTGAAGGCAAGACAAGACAAAGACATTTTGGGAGCCCCCTTCTCTTCCTTTGCCCAGACCAGTCTGAACGAGAGTCAACAATGCCCCCTCACAGAAACGCCCACATACAACAGGACGCCACCGGCACTGGAGTAGGAAAAGAGAGGAAAAGAGAAGGAAAACAGGAAGAAGAAAAGGGTTTTCCAAGCTACACAACAACGAAAGTTCCACAACAGCCACGCTACCGTTTCCTCAGACCACCAAACCCAGCCGGCCCCACGAGCTTGCTGCGCTGACTGTCGGGAGCTACCGTCTCAAGATACGAACATCTCCTCGGTCGCTCGGCACGGACTCACCCCATCCATCCCAAGCATACTACCATCCATCTCCCATCACCCCCCAGCGCACCCCCTCCGCCAGCTTGCTTCTTTTTCTTTTTCTCTACTCTCCAACGTCCTTGTCTCAAATTGATTATGATTATTACTATACCAAACAATACCCCATCCTCTTTGCGCTTGTGGACACGTGCCTGGTTCTTCGCAACATAGTATAGAATACAATATCCACGACCCACTCTCTCCCTCCTCTCCCCTCCTTCCCCCTCCTTTTATGGTATAGAAGCTTTTCCCGCTCGAAAGATGAAAAAAAAGAAGAAAAAAGAAAGATATATGAAAAAAAGTGGCGTCCTAACCAATAGGCGGGGCCGTCTACCATTCTAAAACCTACGGCCCGCGTCGCTCTGGGTGGGGTGAGGGCACAGGGCACAAGGGCACATGGATGCCACGAGCACCTAGATCCGCAGATTCAGCCCAGATGTGCCCGAGATAAACAATGAGAAGAAACGAAGGGGGTGGTTTGTGCGTGTGTGTGTAAGAGAGAGGGGGGGGGGGTGGGGAGATGTGCACCCACCCAATGATGGTCTGACCTCCGTGCTGAATCATGTTTGGGGATTCGAGTAATCCTTTTCCTACCACGATTCCCAAAGCGTCCAGCTTTGTGCATTGGTCAACCAACACCGCGAGGTAGATGGATGGGTGCTCAATAGTAGCAGAGTGTGTCTCATTGAAATGTGTGTGTGCCGATCAAAGAGGAATATCTATCTGCTTTGTAACTTGTAAGGTATAGGTTTCTACATGCCTCTATGTGTTTGTTACCTCTCTTCTTAAAGTGAACCGGCTCGATTGCAAATCTACTCTATGCGAGGGTATCGGGCGCTTGTCATAATACACAATGCAGAGCCCATCGAAAAATGCCATTATCTTCGATGCCCAACTGAATCCCGTCGTCACGAGGATGTCGAAAGCCTCATGATCCTTGACGGCCTCATGGTTCCTCCCATCACCACCACCACCTCCTCCTCCTCCTCCCCATCCCTCGAAACCCTCTCGATATTCACCTTGGATGGACGCTGGTGCACCCAGATCTCCTCCCCCATCTCCCACGTCTTGAGCCCAAACAGCGGCCTCCCCTCTTTATCCCTCGGCACGCCCTCCGGGACCTTGGCAGCAGCATGTCCCTTTGCCCTGCCCCGCCACTTCATGTTCCACCACCTCTGCAGCCGCAGCCTGAACTCGTGCCGGACCTTAAGCCGTGCAGCGATCCACCTCTCGTCGGGCTTGTGCTCCAGCGAGATCTCGTCCACGGGCCGTGTCCCATGCAGCAGGCCGCCGACATCATTGTCGTTGTCGTCGTCGTCGTCGTCATACGTGCTAGTCTGCTCCGGCGGGAGAACGATCTTGAGGAACTCGAGGGACGGTGCGACGGTGAGGTAGATGCCGCGGAGTGGGTTGATCAGCGTCTTCATCAGGAAAGATACCCACCGTGGGTACAGCACAGAAAAGTCTGTCTGCGAGAGGTGTGTCGATCCTCGCACGGTCAGCATCCAGCACAGGGCGCCGCCCGACCGCGCCTCGGTGCAGATCTCGGTGACCTTGTCGTAGTTGTCCTTCCAGTGCATGAAGGCCTCCGAGCCGATGGACAGGAGCGGCTTCGTGATGGTCTGCTCTGACCCTGGCTCCGCCTCTGGGGTCGCGGGCCCCCACGCGTCCAGGAGGATGCCCTGCCCGATCCAGGGAAAGCGGTCGTTGAGGCGGAGGATCTGTACCGTCGTAGCACCGCCAAAGGAATGCCCCATGGCCGTGACATTCTGAAGCGACAGGCGGCCCTTCCAGTCTGTCCAGTCGATGCCATCGAGTCCCTTGGAGCTGGAGCCGCGGTTGGGCTTCTTCCGCAGGTTGGCTCTCTTAATTCTATCATCGGGGTCACCCTCACTGATGACCTCCAGCGCCTTGAAAGCCTCTTCCAACTCAGCCAGGCGCATCTCGATCTGTGCACCGCGCAACTCGCGATCCACCCCTTTGGCATTGTGGGGAGCCGTGTCCTGCGCGTTGTCCTTGGGAAAGATATAGTCCACGACGTAGTTTCTCGCCCGCCTCGGCTCCTCACCTGCTTGCGATGCTGCCGACTTGCCCGGCTCAGCCTTGTCGACACTACGACTCCTCTCCTCCTGACTAAGCTCGGGCGAGTCCCGGTCCGGAGGCACATTGACATACGACCTCGCCCCCGACCCATCACGGTGTTCCACAGCCACAACAACAAGGCCGTACGAGGCGAGATCCCCGCAGACCGTCGAGTACATGGTTCTCGATCCTCCCAGCCCGTGGCTGAACATGACGACAGGGAATGTCGGCCTCCCGTCTCCTTCTCCATCTGACCCTTCCGCTCCCACCATTCTGTCTGCCTCCTCCTTTTTCGGTAGGCTCGAGCCTGACGGTTGGGCCTGCGCCAGTCTCGCGTTCCTCATCGCTGGCAGTTTCGTGAACATGCACGTGGCAGCCATGTATGCCGTTACTGGAAGGTTAGGAATACTGAGAAACTTTGCATATCCATGACAGGTTGGCACCCGTGGTCGGGGAAGCCACAGGACTCTGGCGCCCGAGCTCGGGTCTACATTGGTAGGGTAGTAGATGCTGAACAGAACCGTGTCCAGCTGCAAGGCATGACGACTGTCACGCTTGATGCGCGAGAACGTCCTTGGTCGCTCGGCTGGGAGCTCGAGTTCCAAGTAGCCCACGCTATAGGGACCCGTGTAATAGGGCAGGCTGTGAAATATACGCTCCCTCCATGTCACTGGTGGCCGTGAGGACAGATCGAGCGGTTGTGCGTCCGTCGATGGGGCCTGTCTTTCCTCTTCCTCCATTCTTATGCCTGTGCTAGGTTGATAGTGACGGTGATGATTTCATGTGCGACAATATCAAAAGAGATCCGTGTTCCCCACCATTCAAGACCAAGTGTGACCGAGAAGAAAAGAAAAGCAGAAGGAAGAAAGAATTGCCTGAGAAAACAAATGTTTGTCAAAAATTATCTGGTCAGTAGCATCTTCGCCGTGAAACCTCCTATTAGGCCCAGACCCTGTCGAGTGATAGGGCGTTCCTGAGCAACTGACGTCACCTATTTCAGGGGTGACTACACACCCGGTTAGCGCCCGCCGGAGCAGAAGCCCCTGATGGCGTCGTGAGTCGGTGACAATGAGTGACCCGTCACTACGTAGTAGCTTTTATTGCGTTTTCTTTTGGTCAAAACATACAAGTCACCAGAATGGCCAAGTACTCTTGTCCATGTCTTCTTTTTTTTCTTTTTTTTCTGACACCGCATGGAGGGAATGCGCATATGCAGATCGGGAAGATGCTCCGTCAGGCATTTCGGCTGCGCACCTATCGCCCATGCCCTCATCAGCGCCGACACTTGCTTCGGCCCGCGGCTGCTTGCATATGAGTCCTTGTCTCTCGCGTGTGTGACGTCCGGCGCAGACAACGACATGTGCGGTCCTGGAACCTCAATAGTTGAGTCATCCTTCATGTCCTGTGAGACGATGATGGTAATCTCTCTTGCTGCTTGTCCGGAATTTTTCTCGTATCCTGGATGGCAACACAGCTGACCTTGTCGCTGGGCATCTGAGAAATACGGCTGCTGTAGAACTCGAGTTGTAGGAATAACGAGGTTAGGGAGGACAAATTGGTGATCGTCCGCCCAGGCGTCCACTTGGACTCGAACATCGCGCAGCAGCCACCAGTCTCCGCGGTTGGGCGGACACTTGTGAGGAAAGCCCCAATATCATCCCGGACATGCCTAGATTTCAAGTCCATCATCGAGGCTGGCGTATTGTCAAAGATGGATCGGGGTGTGCATTCAGCATGCATTACCCAGTGATTCGACGAAAGAGTGGCCGTCAAAGAAGCGTGTCTTAAAGCCAAGGGGGTTGGAAGAAGAGTGCCGTCTCCGTCCAGGACTTTGTCGTGCTGTGTTGTGCTAGTTAAGGCACTGTATGGTTGCTTTCCGACCTTCCGCCACTCCGATCCAGTCGCCATATTGGAAAGACCGCCTCGTTTTAATTCGTGACTTTGTCTCACAGTCACTGGCGTTGAGCATATCGACGATCGTACTGGTGTGAGGAGGGCCGGAGGGCTATGGCAACTGCCACAAAATCCCTTCAAGCATATCGGGGTTTCCCGACCAAGATCATCTATGTGGTCGCCATTGTCAGCCCTGCAAGGTGATATGGATAATGAGATCGATGGCCTGTAGATCAACAAAATCAATAAAGTGTAGTCCGCGTGACTATCAGCACTTGGAGCGGACAAAAGACAGTATCGAGCTACAACGGCGGAGGAGTATAATGTGGACGGCACTGATATACCCATCTGATCCTCCTCCCAGCCACAAGGCGAGTGACTTCTTCGACACGAGGCAACAAGACCATCTTGTCTGGTCTTCGGGATTTAGCTGGGGTGATTACACTACCGGCAGGCCGCTCGTGGGGCACCGTTTGAAGTGGTCTCGTTGAGGCTCAAATCCGCCGTGTGTCCAAAGATATCCTGAGCCTAGCCGTAGCTAGCAAGGTACACACACGGCTGGACCCCACGCCTACAGGGAGATCAAGTCATGGTCTGCTCCCTCTTGAGCCGCATCATTGATCCTCTGATGTTCCTGGTTGAGGTGTTTTCGATTTTAGCCGCACGGCAGGTTGATGCAGCGGGTACAGTGGCAGAGTGGGTTGTCTTCTAAATAGGCTAAATACAGCGTCCCACTGTTCAGCCGACGGATCGTTCGAATGTGGATCCTGTCGCCGAGGAAGCTCCTTTGGGTCTTCACATGAGAGACTGTCGAGAGTTGCCAGATCTGGAGGCCACATATCTGTGTCGTTGATTTTGCTTTGAGGTTGCTTCTCGGTTTTTGTCCGAAGTTGAGCCAGATCACGCTGTATATGAGGTGTTTTGCCACGCGGGGTAGCATCACGGACCAGAACAATCCTGTGCTTCTTGTCAGCACCGTTTCACCCCTCTGTTGATCCCACGAAAAAAAACATCCAGAGAATTCGAGTAATCTATAGATAAGTCCTTAAGAAAGGCAGTCAGAAATGGTGCCGACGTCTAGGTCGGAGGCAAGCAAGCCTTATAGGCACTGCCAAGAGAATAACGCATGGCGTGTGCCTGGCATAAAAGAGCCACACTATAGACGCAGTGCCAGCGAGCAGGTGTGTGATGTCCTGGCCGCGCAAAGCCAAGGATCGCCTGGTTGTGAGGTGCCCACATCGTGCTGCCAGAAGCCTCGTGGACCTTCGGGTAAATGATGGCGCGTAGCATCTCGTCCGTCCGTTTGCAAGTGATAGTCACCAGACAGGTCCACCAGGAGGGGTAGGAAAACAATGGAATGCGGATTGTCTTTCATCTGAGCGGTACGTGGTATGGTATAAGTAGCAGTCTATGGCCCTCCCTGCTCGTGCAAGTTGTCTGTCTTCGATCTGGTCCCCGAAAAGTTCTTCTGTCGAAACCGCCTCCTTTCCTCTCCGAAACAACCACATCGCGAACGCACTTTTGTCGAGATTTGACCACACAAGATGGCGCCCACAGTCAAGCTGAACTCGGGCCACGAGATGCCCCTCGTTGGTTTCGGCCTGTGGAAGGTCGACAACGCGACGTGTGCTGACACCGTCTACAACGCCATTAAAGTCGGATACCGGCTGTTTGATGGTGCTTGCGGTAAGTGAGAGTCCTGCGAATTACCTCTGTCTATCATCGTACGCACTGGATCCGTTGAAGCGTGTGTGTAAGCTGTCTTCATGACGAGCACACGATGTCATGGTGGGGGTGGGGCAAGCTGAGGTCTGGAGCTGGAGCTCTGCCCCACGCTCTTGTTAATTAAGTGAGCGCAGGGTCCTTCCACCCCACCATGATGACACTGCCAGCAGGGACCTCAACCACTTCGAGGCTCCAAGCAATGGACGAGGAATTCGGGGAAAAGAGAAAGAAGAAAGAAAGAAAAACAAGAGAGGAAGAGAAAATAGAGGACAGAAAAAAGACAAGACAAGAATTAAGAGAGAAACAAAGAGAACATGAGAAAGAAGGCGTGAAAATCCTGAGAAACCGTGCGGTAGCGAGGTTGCAGCCCGTCCTCATTTCCACACACGCGCCTCGGGAGAACCTTCATCCACCTACAACTCGTCTTTCTAGAATTCAAGCATATCCAACATGCTAACGACTAAATCTCCCCCACCACAGACTACGGCAACGAGGTCGAGTGCGGGCAGGGCGTAGCCCGCGCCATCAAGGACGGCCTCGTCAAGCGCGAGGACCTCTTCATCGTCTCCAAGCTCTGGAACACCTTCCACGACAAGGAGCGCGTCGAGCCCATCTGCAAGAAGCAGCTGGCCGACTGGGGCCTCGACTACTTCGACCTGTACCTGATCCACTTCCCCGTCGCCCTCGAGTACGTCGACCCGTCGGTGCGGTACCCTCCCGGCTGGTTCTACGACGGCGAGAAGGACATCCGCCCCAGCAAGGCGACCATCCAGGACACCTGGACCGCCATGGAGGGTCTCGTGGACGCAGGGCTGGCGCGGTCCATCGGCGTGTCCAACTTCCAGAACCAGCTCGTCTACGACCTGCTGCGGTACGCCCGCATCCGGCCCGCCACCCTGCAGATCGAGCACCACCCGTACCTCGTGCAGGAGCAGCTGCTCAAGGCCGCCGAGGCCGAGGGCATCACCATCACCGCCTACTCGTCCTTCGGCCCCGCCGGCTTCGTGGAGCTCGACATGGCCCGCGCCAAGAACGTCACCCCGCTGATGGAGGAGCCCACCGTGAAGAAGATCGCAGACAAGCTGGGCAAGACGCCTGCGCAGGTGTTACTGCGGTGGGCGACACAGCGGGGTGTGGCCGTGATTCCCAAGAGCAGCTCCGAGGGCAGGATGAAGCAGAACCTGGAGAGCAGTGACTTCAAGATCGACGAGGCCGATATTGAGGCTATCAGCGGGTTGGATCAGGGCTTGCGGTTTAACCAGCCAACAAACGTAAGTACTATCATCAGCCATCGTCCTTCTCTCAGCCAACCCATCCCTCAGAATAAAATAGCTGACACGGCTTGTCGCAGTACTTCCCAACCGAGAAGCTTTGGATTTTCAGCTAAACTCCAAATCATGGACAAACCGACCCCGGTAGCTTGCTTATGATGATCGACCGGGCATGTTATGAAATGAATTATCTGGTACGCTGATAGAGTGAATGGGAGGAATTATGGATCAAGTTCTGCTTCCACAGCTTTCTCTGGGTATAAACATACAAACCCGATAAAAAGTCCTCAGTCTCTCTCAAGCTGGATACCCCACGGTATCATGCCACTTAAAATAGTAGCCTACCATCGTAAAAGTATACAGCCATCCGGTCGTAGGGTGGTTTCGTCGCGAAAGCCCAGTTCGTCCATTCATTCATTGCCGCTTGAAAGTATACGGCCTGACTATGCGCATTACCAAGGTGGCAGTCCTCGCCTTCTGTCAAAAAAGACTCTATTCCTACTGTCTCTCCTTCCATCTTTTGAGTGTGTTCTCTCTCTAAGTTCTCACGAAGGCTGTTGAAGCAGTCAGAGTCAGTGACCATTCGTCTTTTACAATATCGGAATCAAGAACTTACTGGCGTCGATCTGGCGAATCTCGGGTAGCGCCAGCCGGACCTTGTTCCTATACAACGCCTCAGCCCGTGTCTGAAGCGGATTGCCCTCAAAATAGACCGTCTCGAGCTTCTTCTTGTCCCCCAGGGCCTTCTCGATGTCGTTGAAATCCGCAAGCTTGTTGTAGCTCGCCCAGACCTCTTCCAGCTCCTTCAACGGTTCAAGACCCACCAAGCTGGCGATCTGGTTGTTGGATATCTCGAGGATCCGCAGGTTTGTGTTGTCCTCGAGTCCAGTGACATTTTCGAGGAGGTTGTGCGATATGTAAAGCTCCTCTAGTGTCGGCACCTCCTTGAGGGGTGAGAGGTCGCTGATGCGGTTCGACTGGATGCTGAGCAGCTTCAGCTTGGGTAGCTCGCTCAGCCCCTGGAGCGTGGTGATCTTGTTCTTGGCTAGCCAGAGTTCTTCTAAGTTCTTCAGCGTGTCCAGGTTCTGTATCTCGCGGATCCTGTTGGAGCCAAGCTCCAACATACGGAGCTTGTCCAGTCCCTCCAGGTTCTCGATAGTGCTGATCTTATTGGCAACGAAGAAGATGTCCGTCAACTCCGTCAGGTGGTTCACGTGCTTGATGTGCTTGATCTTGTTGAAGCTCAGGTCGAGGTTCGTCAGCTTAGTCAGATGATCGAGGCCGCGGACGTGGCCGATGAGGTTGTCGTAGAGGTCAAGGTCTACTAATGTCTCTGCCAGAGGCTCCAGGCCCTCGATACGTGTGATGCCGTTCTGTCTCAGGCATAGCCGCGCGACCTGCTTGAAGCGCTCGATTCGTAGGCTGGGAATGGACTGTATGCGGGAGTTTATGGAGATGAGCTCGTCTGTATCTGAATCCTCGTCATCGAAAAGGTCTGTGGGTTGTCACATGTCAGCGATTAATGTCGTTTCCCCGCCGCTGGTGAGAAGGCTAGACAGGACAGAATCATGAGAGATCCCGATGAGCACCGGAGCTCGTACCTTCATCGGCCTGTATCTCCTCTCCCTCGACGACATGCTCTTCGTCAGAGTACTCGGGATCTGACAGGGCCTCTGGGTTGGCAAGGCTGGCTCTACCCGGGACGCGCAGCTTGCCGTCCCAGCCCTTGCCATTCGTCAAGACGGGACTGCCGCCATCCTCAGCATCTTTGAGTCGCTCTGTTGTGGCTTCAGCGGCAAGCTCAATGTGGCGAGGCTTAGGAGCGTCGTTGTTCCCGTTTTCTCCGCTCATGATAGCAGCAGTCGCTGTGTCACGCCCAAGGGCTCAGGGCTGAGAGGGGAGCGATCGTGCCACTTTTTTTTAGGATCGGAGCTGATCGATTCTCTGTTGAAGATCAGATGATCCAATTGAAGAAGCTCTCAAAATCGCAATCAGAAGATAAAGGTTGATCGGTGCAAGACTCGCGAGGTAGCGTGGCTCGACAGATATGTGTTGTGGTGAGAGAATGTTTGTCAGTTGGTAATCCTCCGTCGTTAAATCGGAGCAGTATGTCATCTGTAGTGGGTCCCGCGAGCCCTGTCTGTGCCTGACAGCAAAGCCTAGGCTGTCAATTATAAGGGGAACATGGCCATGTCATAGGCGAGGCAGATCCGGCAGCGGGGTCCAGGGTTGAAGGGGAGGGGAGGGGCAGGTTCCGGGGCCCTGGGACTAGTGTTTGAGTGCCCTAGCGTTCGCAAGGAAAACGAATCGAAAGCTGCCACACTTCCTGCAACGAACCTCTTCTACCTTTTTCAAGGAGATGCACATTGCTGCCTGACGAAGTGGCTGCAGGCGATCATCAGTTCACCATGCCGGTCGACGGCCCGGATCGAGATGTTTGCCGACGACTGGTATAGTAGTCTCCTTGTCCGCCGGAACGGAAATTGATATTTTGCCTGCCCAACAAGTCTGCCACGTCTATCTCGACCCCATCTTCGTCAGGCCGTCACCAAGTCCTTATTTGCCAGGAACAGAGGGGGCCAATCTTTAAAGACCGTACGAGAACCGACCCGGAGACCTTCTTTCTTTGTGTGTGTGTGGGGGGGGGGGGGGGAGACATGGACCAACATTGTGCACCATAGAAGTCGTTTTTTTCCCGCGGGGGAGGCACAGCTGGCCTGTCCTATGTTATAAGCATATGGCGGAGACTTCCATTGGGCAATAGAGCTTCCGCAGCCAGCCTGAGCTTTCACATTAAATTTTTTGCAATTCAGCTCTCTACCTTCATGGCCTTAGCCGTTTCCTCTATGATAAACTCAGCTACGTGTGCTCTCCCGCCTGTCATCATCACGTCGTTGTGAAACGCCCGTGGAACGACCTTGGTCTCTTGTGGTATCCCCAACTCGGCACACCGTCTTCGCAGCTCTTCCGGATGACGCTCGGGTACAATCTCGTCTCTTCCTGCCTGTAGGATCAGCACCTGAGGAAGTCCAAGATTTCTCTCCTTTCGATTTTCTGCGATGATCGCCAGGTTGCGGTAGCTGTCAAGGTGGTTGCGCAAAAATGGGTAAAGGTACTTGTAGGGCAGCCATTTCTCAGGGTATAGGACCTCGAGCATCTCTTTGATGGAGAGGAAAGGTGTCTCTAAGATTAAAGCGGTCGGTTCAAGGTGCGCTGGGATGGCTCCAGATGCAACGAGGTTCGTGGCGAATCCAGACCCGATACTCTGTCCCCAGACGAACAAGATTGGCTTTGTCTTGTGGTTCCCGGTCTGAGCTCTCTCGTACGTGTTGTCGTGCAGTTGGGAGATCCACTCGACGGCAGCTCTCGTATCATAGTTGATCCCAGGCTCGGAGGGGCGGCCAGCAGATGTCCAGTATCCTCGGTAGCTCAGGCCAACCTCTGTGAAGCGCACCTTCCCAAGCTGAGGGTATCTCTCCCCGAAGCTCATCTTGATCTTCTTCAAGATCCATGAGTGGTCCGGAAGCCGTGGCGGCAAGGACGAAGCGTTCCCTGAATCCCTACTTTGAGTCAAAGTATTTTAGGAATGGCAAATAGTGTTGAGACGACGTACCTTGACAGTAGAGTATGTAAACATGATAGGCAACGCCATCGTCCCGGGGCGAGTGACCATGTGACGACACACTGGCAACAGCCAATGCCAAGTCGGTCCTATCGATTGACCTCATCCGGAGCTCTTTCCACTCGATCCCGTAGAGATATTTCTGAAAGTCCGAGATTTTGTCATGCCGAGCACTGGGAGGCAGATACGGATTGTAGATGATCTTGTTCTGTAGGGAGACCATGACGAAACTCTTCCAGGTGTATAGGGCCAGGACCAAACCAGCGAAGATCACAGGCGGCAGAAGGAGGGCAGGAATATGTATCTGTCTACGCAGACCAGCGTCTGCTTTCAGAAGCCCATAGCTGAGTCTATTCACAGCCCTGCGATACCCTGTCCGACCTGATGAACTGTGGAAGGTCGACCCAGTCAAAGTGAAGGTTGTTGCCACGGCTATTGTCGCCGGGCGAGGGCGGAGTAGCATACTGCTACCGGTACGTCATCTGAGGTAGAAAGGGAAAAAATTAATAGGAGAAAGAATGTATCGCATTAAGTGATGTAGCCAACAAGTGATTTTTGGAGACAGTGTGAAATGATCTAACTACTTCGCATACGAGTAGCAAAGTCGTCACCCCCAAGTTGAGGAATACCAGGAAAGCACGACCACGAACCAGAAGGCAAGTCAGGACCCCACCCTAACCCTGATGCCCCCTTAGTGGAAGAGACCTACTTAGTACTTTATGTAAAGTGTGCACATAAATCCTTCGATAGCATTATACTAACAATATGAGAATAACGTTGTTCTAGAAATCATGTGTTTAGGCTGTTACCAAGTCTGAAGTGGGCATTAAGTAGAAGAGTTTACTTTCGATTCCTTCCGCATGGGAAAAGAACGGCGACTTACACTTTCACCGCCCTTAGATTCTTTATTAGGTAAGAATGGAATCCCCCTAATGTTTTGACCTTTTCAAGAGGATTGCTGCTCTCACTTAATATGGAAGTCAAGGCTTTGCCCGTCGCTTGACTTTGCAATAGACTCATGGTCCAGTGTGGAAGGGTGTGTAAGAGTATGACTCTGCTTGCGAATCTATGGTCTATTGCAAAGCAAGATGCACCGCTATCTATAGCTCTGTCTTCTCATAGGGGTCTGATGCTGCCTTATCTTGAAGCTTTGGTATGTGTCCCTCGAGATCCATCCACTCAGCCACGAAGGCCGTGATGAGCTTTGACCAGTCCTGCATCGTAGGCCCGTCAAGATGCGCAGCATCATCCTCCATCTTGTGCCAGAACCAAGGGAACGGGGTCGGTATGATATGGAGGACATCAACGCCTCGCTGCATGAACGGGACGTGATCGTCAGAGATAAACCCTGGATGGAACTGAGAGGCGTGTTTATCCGTCTCCGGGAGGAAGTGGCCCTGCGGGTTCGATTCGAAGAGCTTCAGCTTGCGCATCCGTTCCTCGATCTTGGCCAGGTTCTGGTATGCCCAGTGGGTCGTCTGAAAATACGACGGAATCCTGGGATTCTCGGCGCCCAAAAGATCGAGCAACAGAAACAGGCTGATGGCGTCGATGTGGTTCTTAAACGTCGACGGCGCCGGGTGCGCCTCGGCCTCCCATGCCTCCGCGAGCGCCCTGGACCCGTACGTGCTGTCCGTGTCTGTCCACGACACCCATGCCTCCTCGCCGTCCAGTAGCAGGATCTGCACGCCCTTCTCCTCGCCCAGCCCGTCTGCCTCGCCCGCAGCCTCCATGGCAGCCCAATGCCTCGTCAGCGCCTCGTCCACGCTGCGCGCGACATGCAGCAACATCGCGCACGGCGCCGCCGAGTCAGTGGCCCCGATGAAGTTCTCGGGTCGGTACAGAGTGTCATAATGCGCGGCGAGTGTGAGACGCGAGACGTCGCCCGCGCTCGCCCATGGCGGGTCGCGTCGCAGGATGACGTTGCGGAAGGTCACCAGCTTGTCTCCCGTCGCGGGCGTCTTGGAGGTCGTGTTGTGTAGCGAGATGGTCCACGCCGGCAAGTGTGTCGCGAAGAAGCTGACAAAGTGCTCGAACACCTTTTCGGAGCCGGGCGTGTCAGGCACGCGAGGGATCAGGATGGGCGCGAGGAGGCCCGCGGCATTGTGAATGTCGAAGTCGGTGCCTGCGGAGGGGATTTGGCGGAGGCTACCGTCGGACAGGCTGGTGTAGGCCGAGGCTGGGGCAAGAAGACATGTCACAAGCAGGACGATGGCCAATCGTTTCATGTTGTGCACTCGTGAAGAAGGGTATCGTGTCCTACATCAAACCCTGGTTCAGCCACAGTTCGAAGAATAATTCCATATGGTTGGTCTTGGACGAATTGGGCTACTTACATCTTTGACCAGATCTGATAACTCTTGGCCTGATTCGAGTCATCATCGCCAACTATGGATGACCTTGCACCCATTGTGACCCACAGCATGGCATTGGAGCACAGTACTACACCTTGAGAGCATATCGAGAGAAGAAGGAACAACAGCTACACCTGTAAAAGAAGGAGCAAAATGACAGGCTGACAACTGCTGAGCTCGTTGCCTTGATGTACCGCGGCTCAGCTCAGCTCAGGGGTCTTCACAGGGTATTAAGGGATCAAACCCTAACCCGACCAGCTGGTGGTCCTGTCACCAGAGCACAAGGGGTGATGTCAGGGGTGGCCTGTGCCCTTGTACACCTGTGCCTGTGCCTGCTTCACGCCACGTAATGAGCTTGCTCTCAGTGAGCTGGGGTCCAACTGCAACAGCTCTTGGCAACAAGTGTCCATTGGGAATTTTGGATCTTCAGCCTCGTCCACTTGCCAACCTCACCAAACACCCCTCCTCAACCAGCCAGACAACATGCACGTTGCTGGTATCTCCTCCCTTCTGCTCCTGGCAGCTGGTGCTGTCCAGGCTGCCAGCTCCTGGAGCTTTGACGATGCCAGCATCTCCATCAGCAACAAGAAGACTGCTGGCGAAGCTGCCAAAGAATCGTGAGTTCTGGATGGTGGTGCTGCATGCACCCTTCTGATTTCTCTTCCAGCTGACAATGTGCATGTAGTTTTGGTGTCCAGTCCCCCCTCAAGACCCCAGTGTCCCTCAGCGCACAAGATACCCTCACCGTTAGCCTGACGGCCAAGGACAATGGCAAGGCGAAGCGACCACACCAGGCATTTCTCCTCCTGACCGATCAGTCGACGGGCCTGGAGGCGCCTTTCCCTCTGAGTGTCCGGGACAACGGCAAGGGCAAGGTGCAAATTGTACGTCACAATGATTGCGGCCGTATCGCCGTCGCCTGATAGTGTGTATCGGATTCTAACGAGTTTCCTACGGCGCAGACCCAGAAAGACATCCCCGCCCAGTTCTTCGTGTCGTCCGAGCCTCTCCACGCGAGCGTGGTCATCGGCTCCTTTGGCTCTTCTCAGGGTGTCATCTCTGACGCCTTTAACATTGAGATCAAGCCAGATTCCACTACTCCTCCTGCCGCCGCGTCACCTCCCCTTCGCTACGGCAAGCAGCCTCAGATCCACCACATCTTCCGAGAGCCTACCAAGTATGGGTACAAGATCATCTCTATCGCCGTCTCACTGGTTATTGCGGCTACACTGCCGGTCGTCGTGGGTGTTGTAAGTTATTTTCACACTTGGTCCTAGCTCAAGATTGTGGTTGCGCCGGCATAGGCTCTAACATCGTGGTGTCTCATAGTGGCTCTTGCACGGCGCCAACGTTAGTCAACTCCCCAAGGCCGTGGGCGCGGCTCCGGTATCCTACGCTACCTTCTTGGGCTCGATCGTGGCCATGGAATTTGTTTACTTCCTCTACCACCGCGGATTATCCCTGGGCCACATTCTCGTTCCCGTGGCTGTTCTGAGCACCACCACTGTTCTCTCCGGTATGAGGGCCCTTGGTGAGGTGCAAAGCCGGCGACTGGCTGGAGAGCGATAGGTTGTTGTCTAGCGGAAGATTTGGAGCGGCGGCCATTTCCTCAAGAGAGGTCCGCATCCAAGAGGCCGGCCTGGTCACGATTCATCATACCATATGGCTGATTGTTCCTGGAGGGCATTCTATATCCACATCCTGGTCAGCCTCTCTCTCTGCTCCCATGCGAGAGCATGACCAGTTCGTCCTGGAGGGTCACAATCCATATCTGAGGGCGGATAGCCGGAAGTTTCACAGGTAGTGGAAATGTACATTAGAGCTGAAAGCATATCGGCCCGAGAACGGCTCAGGAAAAGGAATGGAAAAGCATCATGACATGAGACTCACGAGCATGATGTGCGCAAGTTGAGCACGAAGACACCTCTTGTGACAGAGAAAACAAAAAATCATAATCATTGCGCCCATGTGGGTGTACAGATCGAAGACGAAAGGTTTGTCTACCAATTCTCCCCAACGCCGTTGCTGGTCTATCGGATATCCGAACTCGTAACAAAACAAAAAGGGCAGGAAATTGCCCGGCCACAACTCCACTCGTCCTTTGCACTACAGCATTCTTTCTACTTCCCCTCCGTTGTCAAGACCTCGGCGGACCTCCTCATCTGGGGCTGCCAATTCCCACGCTCATACTGCGGAGGGAGATCCTCCTCGTCCTTGTCCTCCTCTAAATCAGAGCGCCGCAAGTGGCCCGCGTCAAAGCTAGCCCTCCGGCCCCGCTGCTCCGGCCCCGGCCTCACCGCCCGCAACGACGGTCCCGCCATGGCCTCCTCACCATCATATCGCCGATCCCTAGCATAGCCAAACCCGTTTCCGCCTACAGGCGCCCCAGCAGCACCTGCGTAGCCGCCAGCCCCGACCGGCACCGTAACAGGATACCCATACCCCCTCCTCGCCGCCTTTCGCGTGGCCTTCAAGGCGCGTCGCTCCTGGCGGTACTCGCGGCGGACGTCGCGGCGGGACAGGTACGGGTGATGGTAGTCGCCGTAGCCGTAGTCATCAGCATAAGGATAGTTGTACGCGACGGCGGGTTCGTAGGCGCACTGGGCGCAGGAGCGGCGGCCGCGGCAGGTGCAGTAGGGGGCGGCGGCCGTGGTGGGCTGGGTGCGTTGGGGGTTGTTTGCTTGGGCGAGGGCGAAGCGGTTCTGGTCGCGCTGGGACTGGCCGGTTACTTCGTTGACGATGCGTCCTACCAGACCGAGGATGAACATTTTTGAAGTGTGCGGGTGTTGGTATAGCTGGGAATGGAGATTTTGGTTTGGGATGGATGGGGAGTTCTTGATTCTCTTTTGCAGGTGAGTTGGAGGATCAAAACTGAGGCTCTTGCTGAAGAGGGTGGATATAAATGCGGTGTATGTATTGCTGTTGCTTTGAATAGCCTCAGCTTTCTTTTGTGAAGATGTGTTGGTGATGCGAGTCTAGACAAGAGTAAAAGGGTCAAGATGGGGATCCTGCCTGCCTTCTTATAATTCGATATAATTTCATTGTCATCTACCATCTTATTATCATGAAGTCACTAGGAGGGGCTGAGTTTTGCGAACCCGAGATCAACAATCGGCAGCCGACGAGGAGGTCTGCTCAGCCGCCACAATGCTCGACGCGATTTACTGTCCCTTGAGACTAAGTTGGAGGCGCAGCCTTCATTACATTCCCATTCGTTTGTCGATGCGAGAGGATTGGGGGGTTGGATAGGGGTGGGGGCGTCGCTCTCTACCGAGAGGAGGGCTCGCTTTGTTGCCGATTGGTCGACTGTACGATACCGAGCAATGCTGACCAGCTACAGGACTTCAACGTCTGTATGGCCCGTCTCAGGCGGTGGTTAGCACTTGCACTGCACCTTCTAAGCCACTGTTAGGCGTGCAACGGCGCCAGTCGCACTTAGTGAGGCCTGTAAGGTTCTGGGATCGAACGGCTTGCCCAGGCCTGCCTGGCCCCTGTCACGTTCCGACACGACGCCTATAAGTGTATTGTTCACCAACCACTTTCGAGACACTACTCTGAACATCGTCAAGCGCATCATCGCCTAAGTTCTGTCCGGCCCTCTTTGGCCTCGGGCATTAACCTGAAAACACTTTATGATCTTCGTGTCGCGCTGGGTAAGATAATAGAACGCGTGCGCCGCGTGATTCTTTGCTAAGGAAGATGGGAAAACTTGCTCGCTATCGCGGCTCTGTTGGCACTCCCACCCGCTTTTTCTTTGCTTCTCATCAATGCGAAAGCAATCAACCGCCATAGCCAGGATTCACAATCTTCATATCTCTGTTTTGTTCCTTTTCTTTATCTTTTGACACATCTCACGTTTGCAATTCTTGGCTGCCCTCGACTTAGCACGTTAAACGAGAGTCGAAAGCTGGAAGAAAAACACCCAACCGCTTGATAAATCACTTTCCGGTTCAAATTATGGTGCTATACTATAGCTTCAGCTTCTCTTTGACTTACGTTCAAATATCATTCTCACATCGATCTCCTCTGCACAACTCTTGATAAGAATGTCTCAATTCACAGTCCAGCGTGAGAACAGCCGTCGTGGCTATTCGCCTCCTGCTGGCGCTCGACCTAGCGTCATGGCCTCTCTTGACGAACCACCAGAGTTCGCCTTTGACTATCTCGACAAGAACAATAGGTTGCTCTATGAGAAACAAGCATGCGCTATCTCATGGCTGGCAGACATCACCAACCACGAGAACAAGGTCGTCTCTGAGAAGAAGAAAACCTACCCGTCGAAAAGAAGCCAAGGACCCTTGGCTGTCGACGATATCACCTAGCAGAGTGTGTCCGTTGATGAAACAGTCCAAGAGGGCTTCGAGACTCCTAGCTTTTCCTTTCGCCCTCCTTTGGATGAGCAGGTCCGGACCCTTATTTCGCAGAAGAAAGGGCGCGTTCAGCCTAGCAGCCCTGCTTCCAACCTCGTCTCGAGCCACACTCACGCAACCACCCGACCGAAGAGGCAGGCTGTTGACCAGCCTGGCACACCTACCAAGACTCACTCTTCCCGTCGTTGTTGGACAGCAGTTCAGCCAGATGGACCGCTTATACGATCAACTACGCCTACCCAGACTATCGCCAGCTCCTTGTGTCCGCCAAAATACGACCATTCGCCTGCTTCGTCTCACCAGCCACCATCGCCCATCATCCTCAAGGCCACTCAGAGACGCCGTCTTCAGGAGCGCTTCCAGGCCCGCGTGGACTCTCCCAGCTGTTCATCCTCCGAAGAGACCCTGCAGCGTCTTCTCCGGGGCTACTCGGATTCGTCTTCAGCACATGATATCGAGGAGATCTACGTGACGCCTCGTCCTCTTTCCAAGACGCCTACCACCGTCACTTCTCACGAGGATCCTGTGCAGATCAGTCGTCCACGGGCTCCTGAGCCCATATCGTTCTCTAGTTATCTCCCTCACCATCACGACCAGGAGATCAAACAGAGCTTCGTCACGCCCTCGTCTCATCCTCGTCCTTCTCCACAACATTCTAAGGCTCTTGCCACCTCAACCCCTTGCAAAACGAACCCTGCTGAGAGTCACCGTCCTGCATCAGCCTCAGGACCTGCTCCTCCACCTCTCCCTCGTCTCCGCCATCTGCGGGACTTCATCTCCGGCGTCCTCAGGTTCACCAAGCTGGACCACAACGGCGACCTGCTCTTCACCTCCAAGCAAGACAAGTGCGGCGCCGTGGTCACGAGCGACACCCTCCGTCGCGAGGCACAGGAGCTAGTAGAACACGACGCCCACCTGGAGCGAGAGAACGACCGACTACACGCCGAGGTCTCGACTCTACAGCTCCAGCTAGACGCTGCGCGGAGACTCGCCTCTCTCTCCTCCCCATCCACGACCAGCACCACCGACCCGTCCTCGGACCCACCCCCATTCTCTCAGGAGAATGCAGATCTAGACAGGCGCGCCCAGGATGCCCGCATCACCAGGATGCAGTGGCGTCTCGACCGCGCTGACCAGTTCGTCAACAGGTGCGAGATGGCCGTGTACCGCCTCCGCCTCGAGCGGGACGCTGCCGTGCGGGACGTCGAGGCCGCGCGGCGGGAGGCGGAGGTGTTGCGGGCGCAGAACGATGTGGTTCGGCTGGCGCGGAATCGGTATGCGGATCGGGTGGAGGATCTGTATGCTGCCTTGGAGGATGTCTATGCGCGGGTGCGAGGAGGTTCGCAGTCGGAGAGGGGCTTCTGAGAGTGGGCTGAAGAGTTAAGAGGGGTATGGAGAGTTGGGTAGCAGTCTTGTACAAGATTGATGGGTCATGGCAGATCATTAACTATACTTTCTTGGTCCCTGGGCATCGTTTATTGATTAGTTTGGTTTGTTCGAGACGTATTGTTCGCGTAGAATGAGGGTTTATAGGTTTATTCTCTTCTTCTTTTCCACTTTCTTTCACGGACAGGATTAAGTCACACTTGGTGTAGCAGCAGGTCGTGGAATGACAGTCCAACAGAAAAAATGATTTAATAACTATTAGTTATGAGCTCAAGTCAGTCGTGTTTAGTTGTGATAATTTGTTGTGACTGAAATAGTTTATAATGGTTGCTTCAAGCATATTGGGAACTGCAGCGGAATCCGGGATTTGTGTTGGTTAGCAATAGTGACTGAAGTAGAATAGGGATTCCCTCATTACTTTGTCTACAGCCAGGGACTTTCCTCAGAAGGATTGAGTTTTATCACTGGACTTCTTTCAAGTCACTCGTCAACCATAATGACTGCACGTATGCATGTATGAACAGGGCTGTTTCCCAGAGAAGCCAAGGTTTTTAGCAAGGCCTGTGATGAAGTAAACTGGCCAATGGAAACACCATAATAAGTACATTTACATTCAAAAGCTCCCAGCACCAAGAGACATGATACATTTTGATGTTGGTGTTCCCACCACAAGCGTCAACAAGGGGAGCTTCAACCCACAGTGAGCAGCTGCTCAAAGAAGCCACCAATCTGCCTCTCCCGGTCGACAAGGTGCATCTCGAGGATCCAGTGATACTTCCTGCCGTTGGCATCGAGCCTGCTCATGGGCTGATCGCTGCCGTCGGTGATGTAGAGCGTCACCTTGTCCCTGGGGATCCGCTGGTGGGGGAAATGGCCGACCAGGTGACCGGCAATGGGGCCGCCGAATTCATAACCAGCCTTTTGCGCCTCTCTTTTAATATGAGTGTTGGTTGTCAGTTTTATATACTCAATGTATTATATTGGGACTCTCTCTCTCTCTCTCTGACTGTGTCTCATTCTCCTCTATCCAGAGTGTCTACTCTGACCCATACTCTCTTTTGAACACAATCACATGGTAAGGGGAGTAATGAAGGAGAAAGGGCAGTGATCAAAACTTACTCCTTGGCAATATCAAACAGTTGATTTCCCGTCATATCCGGATCCGCCAGATACCGGGCCTTGGTCTTCTCCCAAGCCGGCTCCAGCGTATCCCTCAGCTTACACTTGAACTCATCCGCCCCCTCCAAGCAATAGGTGCGGCCGAAATCGGCCTCCCAGGCCTCAAACACAGGGCCCAGGTCGACAAAGAGGATGTCACCGGCCTCCAGGGTACGGTCGGGCGGGTTCTCGTCGTAAGGGTGGAGGGTGTGGGGCCCGCTGCGGACGACCCGCTTGTGCCAGTGCGTCTTGACGCCGTAGCGCTCGGCGGCGAGGCTGAAGATCTCCTTGCTGAGACCGGCCTCGGTGGCGCCCGGCCGGAGGAGGGTGCGCTGGATCTCGTCGAAGAGGGCGAGGGCTTTGTCCTGGGCGTCGAGGAGGTAGGCGGCGCGCTGCTGCTCCGTGAGGTCGGAGGGTTCGGCTGGCATTTTGTTCTCTTCTTCTTTTTCTTCTTGAATCCTTTTTGCCGAAAGTTCTTTCAAATATACAATAAGTTGCGAGTGAATGAAGTATGCTTTTGTATGTAATTTCAGGTGAGAAATGGTAACAATACTAATAACAATGATAATGATAATGCGATGCAACTCAATTGCATACAAACGAGGAGGTGGGTGGGAATCCAGCTAGTATAGTACACCACCCTCTCTCTCCCTCTCTCTTCTTTATGTAAAGCAGTAACTTATCACTGAAGAGGGGAAAGGCGCCCTTGGAGGGGTGATCCGAGTACCGAAAACCGGCACCCAATGAACTAGCTTGCATTGGTCAAACCATCTCGTACTGTATACTCCATACTTTTGTTTTCAGGGCTCCGGCTAAACTTGTACTTTATCTTTTTGTACATCACACAGTGTGCTGCCGGTCGTTGATCGCAAAATCCTGCAACATCATCAATCTATCAATCCTTCGTCCTGCCTCGCAACGGCGCAGGCACATGTGACTCAAACCTTTCTGGGGGGGAGTACGCCGTTGAAGTGTCAATCCTGTCTTGTGTGTATTTCTTGTACTTGCGACTTACGTACTTGATTCGCGATTCCTATTTCCTTATCATGACTGTCGTCACCAGATGGACACAGCTACGAGTCTCTATCTGCCTTGCTATAAGCTATCTATCGCTCTCACTCAGTCAATCCACCTTGCAAAACTCGCAATCCTCGCACTCCCCTTCAGCCTTTCCATATCCTCTTCCCTCAGACAAACCCCCACCACCATCTCCCCATCCATGCCTCTCGGCATAAAGTAAACCAGACCCTCCCTAGCACCCCTCTCGAACCTTGGCCTGCGCACCGCCCCTGGTTTTCCGAGAAACACCCCAAAGTCCACCTCATACAGCCTCTCCTTGGCCCACGAGCTCAGCCTGACATCCAGATCCGGGCGGGCCCGCTGTGCTGTAGCCTTTCTGGCCGCCGCCTCGGGGTCCTGCACGATGGAGGCTGCTTGGTCTCGTAGGTTCTGCCGCAGGCTCTCGGTGTCCAGTGCGGCGCGGAGCTCTAGGGCGACTGAGCTCAGCGACCGCGAGTGCACCAGTTCGCTGATGGGCGCGGTGTGGGATGTAAACGTGACAAAGAGGCCTGGGTAGGTCGGCGGTAGGCCAAAGTGCTTTCTCACGTCGACGTTGCGGGTGAGTGTTGTTGTTGTTGTTGCTGTCGTCGTCGTCGCCATCCTCGCCTCGGCATCATTGCCACCGCCGCCTTCTTCTTGTTGTTGTTGATGTTGTCGCTGCAGCCGCGGCTCGCGGGCCCTGCTGATGGCCTGCCAGAAGAAAGCAGTAAGTGCATCATCTTTAGACACAAACGTCGTCCAGGTCGTCTCCTTCAAGGCGGGTCTCTTCACCCGTTCCAAGAGTTCGCTCTTCTCGAAGGCGATGTATGCCCACGTCAGCGGTGGCGTCTGTTGCGTCTTGTCCTCGGCACTTCCATCACCACTGCTGCGCTTCTGTGCCGTCCGATCCTCGTGCACTTCGCCTCCTGTGTCTGGCCCAGTTGTGTACTCATCCTCTTCCTCCTTCTCTTCAGGAAGCGGGATGTGTCCTCTCCTGATCATATTGCCATCCTGTATCTCCTGCCGGCTGAACACCTCCCCCCGCATCGCCTTGGCTAGCAACGCAATCACCTGCGCCTGGCCCGCAACGTCCATCGCTCCATGCTGCCCGCAGACCGTCAGGAGCAGCCCGCCCCTGATGAAGTTGGCCTGAAGGCGCAGGACCGGCCTTTCTACCGCCCCGTCGTCGTCCTCCACCATCGTCTTGCACGGCGCAATCACGTCCTCGTCCAGCATGCTGAAGGGGAACCCGGCCTGCTGCAGCTCATCCCACGAGGGCAGCACCGAAGCGACATTGTTGTCATCGTCGTCATTGTTGTCACCGCTGAAGTCCTTGATTACCAAAGGTGGGACAGTCCAAGGCGAGGACCTGGCCCTGATCTTGAACTTGCCAGACTCACATGCGACCACCTCGCCTGCCGTCCATGGGAATGCTCGCGCCAGACGGGAGAGGCCGTCTTCCAGCGTCTCGATGATTTCGGCGCGTGTGCTCTCTGTTTCGTCGGGGAGCGGGAAGCAGAAGGTGATGGGAGTGTAGAGACGATTGATGCGCTCTTGTTGGCCGAGGAGGTCGAGGGGGAAATCGTCTAGTAGCTGGGATGCTGAAGTATTCGACATTATTTGGGGAGGAGATGGGGAGGGATGAGATTGGCTGGAGTTTTGACAATCGTCTGTATATTCTCTAAATGGCTTTTGTGCCAAAAGAATTGAGTGGCAGAAGAATGATTGTCAGTAGAATAAGAAGAGGAGGAAGAGGAAACCTTTGACTTGAAGGGCTGTCACTCAATATGTAATATCAAGCAAGGTAAGCCCGCCGAGACTGGCCCTCTACAATGTACTACAGCGTTCCACACAAGTCAAGCGGAATCAAGCGGCTTGACAAGCGAAGTTGACGGTTTGGCGATGGTCTTCAAGACAAGTAAGCGGCCTTTTTGACCAAGCGGCTTGCAAGCGAACAAGCGAATTGCCTCAGTCCTATTGTGGGTCCTTATAGGCTCAGTTGAAGCTATCGCGGCCCACTCTGGATGCAACCTTGCTGGGGTTTTTGGTGTTTTGGCCTAGGCTTTTGCCCTGGCCCTTGGCTATTCGGCCTATATATCCGTATTAAGTCTTTTCCTCCGCTGGCAGGCAAGCTCTTCTGTACCTCTTCTACCCTTGTACTTGGCATCCTCGCGTTTACTTCCTCGCGTCTCGCACCTGGGTGTCCTCGCGTTTATCTATCATCGCTTTCCTTTCACTATCATGGCTAATAGCAATGCTTTCAACCAGCTTAGCCACGCGAGATATACCTCTATCCAGAAGCAGATCGATGCCCACGATGCCACAGCACAGTTCTCTCTTGGTACCCTCAAAGACCTCCCACGCATTAAGGTTCCAGGACGATCCCATGCCTTTGTCCCAGCTCGCTGGATGCCAACATCATCGGCCAAGAGGAAGCGCCACGGGTCTGATATCTGGCATTTCGGCGAGAAGCTCTTCGAGGTCATCGTACAGGCTGACGGCACATGCAAAGTTGCAGCGGATTGGTGGTTCTGTCGCCTCTGCGATCAAAATAATCGACAGACCTTATATACCACGCGTAACAGTATCTCGACAAGCACATCAGCAGCTCTAAAGCATCTCGAAGGTCGCGATAACGAGGGCCATAACCTTGGCAAGCTGAAAGAGCTTGTTGCAGAGGCAGAGAAAGAGGAGGTTAGCCCAGAGGAGCTTGGCCGGCGAAAGCGGCGAAGAATAAACCATCGTGGCCTTTTCAACAACAGCAGTCTATATACAGCGCCTGATGCCTTGAAAGACGCTGCCAACGCTCCAACTCGTGCAGTTGTTAGTCTCGCGAAGAAGGCTATAACAGAGCTGGTTGCTTGTTGCGATATACCTCTTTCAACTCTCGAGGCGCCTCAGTTCCGCCAGCTGTTGATGGTCTGGAATAGCACCCTGACGGAGCACTTTTTCCCTCGAAGTGATGGCACAGTGATGAGATGGCTGTTTGAGGCGTTTCACGAGAACCTAGCTGGTCTTCAGCTCCAGCTCCAGCGCGAGGCTATCTCGAAGATTCATCTATCTGCTGATCTCTGGACCTCGCCTAACCACAAAGGCATTCTAGCAGTGGTTGCGCATTTTGTTGATAGCGATGCAAAGCTGCGAAATCGCCTTATAGCAGTGAGGATGATCAACGGCCAGCATACTGGCGAGAACCTCCAGTGGCATCTCCATCAGGTTATTATGGCTTTTCAGCTTGAGGAGCGGCTCGGCTGGCTTACTTTTGATAACGACAGCACGAACGACAAGGCAACAAGGCTTCTTTTTCGCAAGATGTACGGCTTCAATCATCGTGAAGCTGAGAAGCTGCGGATTGAACGGCGATGCCGCTGCTGGGGCCATATTATTAACCTTATTGTCAAAGGCTTCCTCTCTGGTAACGCTAAACAGATACTCGAGGCTGAAGACAGCGATGCTGATGAGGTAAGTCGAGCTGTTTTGTATCTTCCTGGCTTATTGCTAATATTTAAGCAGGGACTCGAGCAACAGAGGAATCAGTGGGATCAGTGGCAGCGAGAAGGACCTATACGCCGCGCTCATCTTATTGTAGTCTTCCTCAAGGCAAGTGTACAGCGGGTCCAGGACTTCGAGAAGATTGTTCAGAACTCTTTGTTTTCTCCAGAGGACCAAGATCTCGAGGACACTACAGCCTTTTTGGCAGAGGCCCTTCCTCAGCCAACAGCACAAGACCTCACGATGCCACCACCACCGCTTCCTACAGACCCTACAGATGAGCAAACTGGCGATATATCTACCTTGCGGCCAGTGGTAGCTCAGGAGACGCGATGGAACTCAACAGAGGCTGAGATATCGCGGCTGCTGAGGCTGAAAAGACCTATTGATTTCTGGGTTAAAGAGCAAGTTCGAAGCGGTGCTAAAATACAACCTTTGAGTGAGCAGGACTGGCGAGTGCTTGAGGCAACTCGAGATCTTTTGCAGCCATTCCTATGGCATACAAAACACCACGAGGGGAACGCTGTAGCTGTTCATGATGTCCTCAGTTCTTTGTGGGATCTCGAGAAGCATTTGCGGTCCTTTCAGGAGAGATTTGGAGGCAGAAAAACGTATGCTGAAGAAGAAATCCTTGAGGAGATTATTGTCTCGCCAAATGCAGAGAAACCAGCCCTCCAGCGGCCCTCATCGCGATATCAGGCCCCTTCAAGACCTTCCTCTCGGCCCTCGCCTCGACCCTCCCCTCGACCCTCCTCTCGACTTTACTCTCGGCCCTCCTCTCAGCGTTCCTCTCGGCCCTCCCCTCGACCCTCCCCTCGATCCTCCCCTCGCCGTCGAGCTTCACAGTCTTCAGATATATTTCCCAGCACTCCAGTACGGGAATGGCCAGATGTTGGTTCTCAACAAGAGGCTGAGATATACCCCGAGGAATGTGGGCTTGAAGGTGCTGAGTTTCTGAGAGAATCAGTAGCCCACGCGTTGGCAATTCTCAAGCGATATAAGAGCAAGCTTCGCGAATGCCCTATATATTTTGCTGCTGCTGTTTTGCATCCGAAATATCGCCTGGTTGGTATTCGTACAGCAGCGCCAGCTATTGCTGACGATGTTGAACAAGAGTTTAAGGCTTTTTACGAGAAATATTGGGCATATAAAGATCCAGCCTTATCATCAGCATCAACACCCAGCTTGCAGGAAGATCAAGAACATAACAAGCCAAAGAAGCAGTGGAGGACCGCCTTCAGGGCACAACCAAGGCCAAAGCATCAACGGCCACAGTCAGAGCTGGAGAAATATCTCCAGCTAGAAGAGGACGACGAGGACGACGATGGTTTTGAGCCCCTCGTCTGGTGGGCAGCGCGTAAGGCCGAGTTTCCAGCCCTCTCACAGATGGCCTTCGACGTCCTATCTATCCCCGCGATGTCGTCCGAATGCGAGAGAGTCTTCAGCCAAGGGAAGCTTACGATGTCCTCGCAGAGGAGGAGAATGAAGAGCAGCACTCTCGAGCTCCTTTTGTGCCTCAAGGACTGGCTGAAAAATGGAACGCTGGCAGGACCAGCAGCAGAGATGAGGAGGAAAGGCATTGCCTAGCAGCTTTTTGCCAAAAAAAGGCATTCGAGGGGGTCAGAAATGTTTCTTTCAGCACTTGAGCGAGGGACCTCGCGCGGATCAGAGCGTAACAAGGAAAACTATCATCATATGCCTCTGTACCGGTTGAACCACGTGCGTAGCTCATTTGTTACTCTCACCACCTTTCGTTTCGTATATCTATCGTACATTCCTAATCCGGTATAGTGACCAAGTCACCAAGCGAATCAAGCGGCCAGGTACTAGAAGACAAGCAAGCGGCCAAAATAGTTAGCAAGTCAAGTGGAGGGCTACCGCTTGCCTTGACTTGACTTGTGTGGAACGCTGATGTACTATCGGTACCGACACCGGCACAGATGCACCTATGCATCCATTGCCACCCCCACCAAGAGAATTATTGGTCAATGAGGGCGGGAGGAGCACACGTGTGGCTTAGAACATCATCTAAACAAATAGGGACTAAATGAATCACCACCAAGCTTCATTATAAGCGTAGTAGTAATTACTATACTTTGCAAGAATGTTGTAGAGTCCATCTTGCTCCGCCTCCAGGTCCGCAGGCCAGCAGTGCCCTGCATTCACCTTGTGATGTGTCCCAATCTTGCTCAGCTTGAGAATGGATCGTGCTGGCATTGATCCAAAACCGAACTATACGCATATAAAGACAGGAACTCAATCCTGTGGCCTGGTTACTTCAGAACTAAACATCCCATTTCCGCCACTGCTTTAGAAGATACATGATTCATTTCGATCTCTCAGATGTACACAAACTTGGCAGTGCCATTCATTCATCTATGCATAGCAAATTGAAGGAGGAAAAGGAGGCGAAAAGAAGAGAGGAGAAAAGACGACAGTAGACGGGCAGACAACCCACCCCAATGATTCAGGGCTTCCGATGAAAACATCAATAAGTGTGAGCGAGATGAGATATCTGACGATTGCCTGCATCCTGATTTCAACCTGTTGTCACTGTGGTTTGCGAAGATAGTACCATCAGCAATCACAGAAGACAATAGAATGGCAATGAAGTATAGGATCATTATCGACTCTCCCTCGTGCACATAGCCATTCACACAATCATGTCTGTCACTGTCCATGGTCGCAATATATATAACCCCATATCCTTGCTTCCATCGAGTTTATTTCTCCCCCATCAATCTTCTCTCAACATTCTTCCTCAACTGACTACAGCGCACGTACAAGACTAATCCAGAAAAACGTCTCCCACACTCTCTCCCGTCTTGCCTCAAAACCATTTAACATTGAACAAACCAAAACTTCTTAGGTCAAAATGACTTCCATCATAACAGGGACAGGCACTTCAAACTCTTCTGCTGCCACCAAATCTCAAACCTGCGTGTCCTGGGGCACTATCATTCCAGACCCCTCTAATTTCACATCCGCCAGGCTCATCACCATCACCGCCCGGGCCGACGTCAATTGCAGCAACCCCAAGAACGCAGAGTATCAGTTTGCCATCTTGCTGTGCGAGTCTAATGTCCCTGGCAGCACCATGGCCGACCCTGGTAATCATTCCAGCTTTGATTTTGGGACAGGTAAGTCTACAATATATATCTCCCTTTTCCCCGTCCGTTCCCCTGGTAATCGTACTATACACTTCCACACGATAAGAAGAAAGGAAGAGAGAAAAAGGCTAACAATACCAAATCCAGTAACCATGAACCTAACCACCCCAGGCAAAGTTGAGTTGACCGAGAATCTATCCCTCCCACCAGCTAACTCCCAACTCCTGAACCTGAGCTACACCTACCAAGTCCTCTTCACAGACCCAGCCGCCCACACCAACACCTCCTCCTCCTCCTCCTCCTCCTCCTCCTCCACCCTTCTCGCAGAGTCCCCAGCCTTCTTCTTAACCCAACAACAACCGCCACCACCACCACCACCTCTACCACCCACCCCTTCAAACTCTACCTGGACCACAGTCACAGTAAGCTCAACCCACTGGACCACAGCCACCTCCCTCAAATCCACACTCAACCTAACCATCACCCCAATCCCAACCAAGCCCCCCTCCTCCTCCCTCCCGCAGACAACAGCCTCCAGCCAGCAAGACCAACACCAACACCCACCAGCCCTCAGCACAGGCGCCATAGCCGGAATAACAGTAGGCTCTCTAACTCTCCTCACCCTCCTCCTCCTCCTCCTCCTCGTCTCGTGCCTCTGGTGTCTGCGCCGCCGCCATTACCTGACGAGTCGCAGAGCGGCCCGGGGCAAGAGGCTGGAGGAACAGCAACAGCAACAGCAGCAGCAGCACAACCATGGGGACGAGACAGGCTGCACCAGCACAGATGAGGATGCGGAGAGTGGATTCGAGTTGCAGGACCTTGGTCGTGCTGCTGGTGCTCCTGGGGGCGAGGTGGCCGTGGGACCGGTTTCTGGCCCGGAGGTGCCAGCACCGCAGTCGAGGACTGTGAAGACGGACCCAAGCTGAGTAGAGTTCTTGGATTTTTTTTATTTTTTTTTTGGGCGTAGCTGATTAACTTGGTATAACGGCGACAGGTTCGTAAGATGTGGGATCTGGTCTGTAGAATACTTTGGCCAGGGAGGAAGGTTAGGAAGGGGGAAGAGAGAGAAAAAAAAAAAGAGGAAGAGGGGGGGGGGGAGGGGGAGGAGAAAGAAAGAAAGAAAGAGGAGATCGGGCTGTAATCAGTTGGCTGGTTTCGTCTGACAATGAATACATTAATCACATAATATTTGAAGCTCCTGTTTTCATTCCTTCTTTGTGAACTACATACTATTCAGTTTATACAAGAAACGTTCTCCATCTTTCCACCTTCTCTATGTTCCACCACTTCAGTCCACATCGACCACGCTCAACCTTCTTAAAAAGGGGGATAGGGGACTGCGTTTGGACGCTGGGTACACCAGTCTCTTCAGCCTCCGAGAGACCGACTAGAAGCCAAGTCGAAACATTAGAAATCTACTGTACCAAAGAGCAGTCCGCATTCTGCCTCGAGAATTCCCCTTGGGCTTCTCTAGACTGCATACTTGGGAGTTGACAAGCAAAACGGAGCCCGGCCGAATCCACATGCATTAAGGCTAAGAACAACTTCACAAGCACAAATAAGAGCAGAGATAACATCACGGTAGGTTCTCAGGAGTACGAGGTAAATCTCATTCACGCTATCAGTCCAACTCGCTGCAACTACTTCCAAGGAAGATACGAACACGTGGAGGAGCTGGCTCGTCCAGGCTTTCAGAGAATTTGTCGAAGAGAGAAGAACCCCAACCGAGACTTCCCTCATCCTGCTCAGATGATCCTCCTACTTTCCATGTGGTAAGACCAAGAGAAATAAAGTTCCAGCAGAAGCAATCTCCGCAGGAAAAAAAAATAAAAAAAATAAATAGTAATATTGGGCCTCGCTGAGGTGATAAAGCTGGTGTGCAAGAAATGCACCTGAAAAGATTATGCTGCCTCCTACCTTTGGCCGCTCTCATCCATCCCATGCCATGCTTTGAAGGCCCCTAAGGCCACGCCCTGGGTTCAAGACTGTCCGTCCCGAGTTCATACAGAAGATCCACGTTGCTGAACTTTCGCATAGGGCTCAGGATCAGAATGAGCCTTCCGCCTTACACTAGAAATGGGCCAGAAGAGCTTGCTTGTTGGGGTGGTCGAAGTGGAACGGTCCTCACAAGGAGGCTTTTCGAGGTCATCCTCGTCGGCGACAAGACTAGAGCCCTTGCTATCGAGTTGTGGATGGCCACCCGCTCCAATGACCTCGGGATCAGGACTTGATCGACGTGGACTCTGTTGAAACGGATGAGTCTCCTGTTCCGATGGCTCGTTGGCCATCCATCGGGAGACAGAGGTTGAAACCTCTTCTTGGGCAACAGAGGGAGACTCGTTGTCTTCGTCTTCTTCCATGATAGTGCTGAGACTGCTGTCGTCAGACTGCTGTCCCTCTCCAGCCGGCTCGCGCCCAAAACTATGTTGACCACCCCCTCCTCGAAAGCCTCGGCATCTTGACGAAGCCTCCCAGGAGCCCTCCACCCCCCTCTGCGTCCCCATGTCTTGTTCGGGGGTATTGGGCCTCGGCCAAGAACCCCAGCGGCCCTGCATTTGCATCTGCATATAGAATGCGTTCACCTCTTGCCTGATGCGACCGAATCTCAACCAAGCCTCCTAGCGACCGAGCATCTCCATCTGCGTATCAAACTCTTGGGTATCTTGTGCAGGACCATCGTCCTCGTCAGGTTCCTCCGCCTCGGGCAAAACCCGTTTCGCCCTGGGATCCTCGCCCTCTTCACGCTCGGCATCCATTGCAACATTAGACACCCCAGGGGCATCGTACACAACCATAACTGCCGAGCGAGACAGCTTTTGATCTCTGCATCTCTGCCGGTCATCGGTGGCGTCCCCATCGGCCGTCTCTAGTGTCCCCACAGTCTGTGCTACGGTGCCCGTATGCCTTGAATCGACTGTCTGCAAGCAGAATTGACAGGGTACACGTGCAAGCCGCGTTGCGTCGTAGCCAGACGACTGCCAGTCAGGGACAGTCTTCGCGACCGGTAATTGTTTGCATTCTGAGAAGTCCTCGACGTCGAAGTTTTCATCGACCTCCAGGGTCATGCTCCGCCAGTTCTGCGGCATCGAGCGCCACACTCGATATTGCGGCCGCTTCCTGTCGAATGATTCATCGACCTCGAAGCGCGGATACGTGCAATTCTTGAGATCCGGGCGTCTCAAACGCGGGGCCGTAATTATGACAGGTTTGTCCTGACCCTCACCGATCTTTCCAGCTGCATCTTCACCTTCTTCATCTCCTCCTCCTCCGCCGCCCCTTAGCTGCGGTTCCTCATCGTCGCTCGAAAACGTCACATTCGCAGGAGAAGGAGGCGACGAAGGACAATCAGGCTGCACGCTCTCAGAATTAGTGACTTCCAATGGGTGTAGTGAGGTCCGCCGTGAGAGCACATGCGCAGGCCGAGGAGCCAAGATCAGGACGGCCGGCGTATCCGGGCGTGTCCACTAGGCATCTGTGCGCTGCGGACGCGAGCTGCTGCCGCCGTCATCCATAGGCTCGAACGCATCTGGTAATCCGAGGCCAGTGAACGAGCTTCGAGGGGGCGGCACACGGGTGCCGTGAGAAACAGCAGGCAGAGGGGCAGCTAGGACAGCCACCTGTGTAGGGGATGCTGGGGAGGCTGGCGAGGAGGAAGAGGAGGCGGCGGCGGCGGCGGCGCGACCCCTCATTCCTCTCTCCCTTTGCTCGAGGACGAGGGCTCTCTGGTCAGCCATGATCATGGCACGGAGCATGGGCCGCAGGGACTCGGGAACGCTGTCCCAGTTCCCAGCGCGTACGCTGTCGACCATGCGCTGCCTCTCGCGCAGGGCAGAGATCTCGCCCGACTCAACGGCGTTCTTAAACCACTGCTCCCAGGCCTCATCCAGGGGCACGGAGAAGTCACCACCACTCCTGGCGGCCACGCGTTCCCGCAGCTGCTGGTTGAGGGCCACGCCCACGCTCTCCAGCTCGCCTTCGCTGTCCTCGCCTTCAGCCCCGGCCATGGAGTTGTCATCGTCGTCATCGTTATGGTCGTTGGCGGCGGAGGCCAGGGAACGGTCGCGAGTGACGGCAGAGCTGCTCTGGTGGGCACGCCTGGGCTGGGGCTCGCCGGTCCAGACGGGCAAGCCATCCATAGCGGTGTCGCGGATGTTGCAGTTTTGTTCGCGCTCGTACCTCTCCTTTGCCCACCTAGTTCCCTCCCACTTGGTCAGGCCCGAGATCTCGTTGGGGGTCAGGCGCAGGGCGTCGAAGGCCCTAAAGAGGCGGCGGTGCCATTGCCATCTGCTGAGTCGGGTGCGGTGTGTAGGGTTGTTGTAGTCAAGCCCTGGGTACTTGGCTTCGTGGGTATCGAGGTGGCCATAGAAGGCGTGGACCTCCTGGCGAACCTCGAGGATCAGGTATCGCTGCAGGAGGGCGTGGAAGTTCTGAGGGTCCTGCGAGCGTGCCTTGGGAAACATTTGCTCGAAGACGAGCGCGTCTACCGGACGGCCCTTCATGGTGGGATGTGGATGTGTGTGTGTAGAGGTGTGTCGTATGTGTCCAGATGTGATTTGTGTGGTGTAAGAACAAAAATATGCTTTGTTGTATCTGTGGTGTGTTTTGTAGGTTGTCTTTGGGATGCGAGGAGGATCGTGAACGTTGCCGATCTCGCTCGAGTCCTGGTAAGACGAGTAATTGATAGTGTAAATTTCTTGTAGTGGAGATTCAAACGGTTGCCGTCAGGGGGAGAAATTGAGAGAGAGAGAGAGAGGGAGGGAGTGAGGAGAGAGACGAGAGGAGTCGACAGGAGGCGGTTTGGATGTAAGTGGTGTTTGTTTCGGGTGAGAGGAAGAGAGACGAGGAATGTTGCCTAGGCGTGAGACGGTCACGATATGTGGTCAGCAGTGGCTACGGAAGCTGTTGTCCAAGGAGGGATTCAGTAGTCACGAGGACGGGAGAGAGGAGGAGAAGGAGGAAGAAGGGAAAGGGCCGTCAACAGTAGAAGAAGGAGGAGGACAGACGGGGCGGGCAAAGGGGAGGAGGAGCGGTCGGGCCAAGATGAGGACCGTTGCGACGCTCAACTGGGGCTGGCACGAGGCGAGCCAGGACCAAAAGCACAAGGGCCCTTAACTAGTAAAAGGTCCAGTGTAGGCCCAGGGCCAAGACCAAGGCCCAGGCCCTGCGAACCAGTCCCAGACAGCATGTGCAACTGCACCTGCACTGCATGGTGCAGGTCACGCCCCTGTGTGGAGCCCAGATGTCTAGGTGTTAGTGTTAGTGTTAGTGTGTGGGTGCTATGGTACATAGTACAGCAGGTACAGTAAAGGTGGCCCCCGGTCCGGGTGTGGACACCCTTAGACACCACCCCCTAGACTTCCGAAGGGGGGGGGGGGGTGGGGGCAAGGGACACCTGCAGCCGCCAGTATTCAAAGTGCCTGCAGGGACCAGGCCAGGTATCGCATCACCAAGTCCACTGACCACAGACAAACTCTCAATGCACCTGAACATCTGATGTGATTTTGATCACTGTACCTGCACACCTGCACTGCAGGTCATGAACCCTTAGATCCAATGCAAGGACTATCTTTTCCTGGTTGTGTTAAAAGCATAAAGTGACAAGAAAAGCATGGTCAGGCTATAAGGATGGAACTATAACTTTGATCCATACTGACAAGTTATTACATGTACATGATATGCTTCTATTGACTTCTCTTGACATGACATAACATGACATTCTCATGACAAGCCATGAACCTCTCCTCATTTTATTCCAGGGCTAGAGTCAGGAAGGTCCAGGTCCCCTCCCACCCCTCTCTCGTGTTCAGGCATGCCTTTCAAAGCCCTAACCCCCTGGATCAGATCCCATCATCAGAAAAATGGACCCCTTTTCCTTTTTCCTTCTTCTTTTTCTTTATTGATCACCCCAGTGTTTCGTCATCCTTTTGGTGGCTGCCGACATAGACCATGGCCAGGTCAGGGCTCTGACAAGCCAGCCCGACACGGCGTTACAGCCTCAAATCCTCCAAGCAGCCCTCCTGACCTCCTCGTTCTCGCTTTATTCAATTCCCTTGCCTTACAAATAATTTACCCTGACATTAAGATCATCACAAAAAGACTGATCCATCCAGATACCCATATTCATTTTACTTTGTATTTTTCCCCCCTCCTGTTGTGCTTGTCTCTCGCCTCTTTCTTTCTTCTTTTTTTTTCTTCTTTTTTTCGTGTCCCTCCCCATTCAGAACAAGGGGGCTTTACTTGTGCATACAAGTACAACGTTTGCCATGTCACCCTTGCTTTGAATATTTCATCTGCACAACCCACCATCCCCCCCACCTGCCTTTGTAATAATCTTACTTTTGAGACAGTCGTGTGTGCTTGTTGTTCATGCAAACTTCCTTTCTCTCCCCACAGCACCCAAGTACGAGATAGATGGACACACCCACACCCGCAGCATAACACAAAGACCAAGAAAGAGGAGAAAAGATTCTAGACCACATGCCACGACATGGGATGGTGGGATGAGGCAAGAGACGGTGGACTGTTCTAAGCCAACCAACGACTCCTTCGGTGGCCGGCCGGCCTTTGCCTTGACATGGCCGCTTCTCCAGGCCGCCCACACACGCCATCTGCTTCTTGTTATTCGCCTGGCTGGTCTGCCTGATCGATGCTCGCCCCGGTGGACAACTAACCAAGCCGACTATGGCTATTATGCGCTGGACAAGGCATCGTCGCGCGCCCGGCCTGTCCATTCCCAACCAAGCCTCGACTCTAGTATCTACCGCAACCGCTCGCCCGCCCTGTTTGTTTTGTTGCTTTAGACTTTGTCTCGCTCGTCGGCGTCTGAACCAGGGTATCATCGTTAATTCTGGTTTTTTTTCTTTTGTTCTCTCCTCTTCTCTCTTGTCTTGTAAGAAGGTCTCGGAAGAAGAGTGGTTCTGGTTTCAAATCCTCATTCTCGTGGCCTATTCTTTGGTCTGGGCTTGTCAGGCAAAAGAGGATGCAGATACCATCGTTTCCCCGCCCACCGCCTTTTCTTTTTCCTTCGTCTATTGCTTCCCTTCTGACTCCTCCTCCTCCACATGGTCACTTGGGACCTGTCCAATCACAGCACGCCACAGGCCTATCTGGCTTTGCTGGCGTGCACCTTCGCTCCCCACGGCCGCCGCTCCCACGGCCGCCCTCCCCTCCAAGTGCTTCCCGGAGCGCCGAATGGGAGCTCAGCGCCGGGGTTATTCCTGCCAGAGCATCCTCCCGGCCAGACCGGCAGACCCGTTCGCCTCCTTGCTTTGCTTGTGTGCTCCTCTTGCTGCTTCTTTCCCCCTCTTTTTTCTCCTTCCTCCTCCACACGCTCTCTTACGCACACACACGCACACGAACGACATCATATTGGTCGCCCCCCCTTTTGTGAATCCTCCGGCCTGTTCACAAGACCACCCACCACCCAACCAACCTCCTTTCCTCTTTGTCGTTGTCATTCTCTTGACGCTGATTAGTTATTACCTTGCAGCGCCCGTCCGATGTGTACGTATGTAGTCATCACCACCTGCAGCAACAACCTGATTTTTTCCCTTTCTTTCCTTTTTGAACACCGTTGTAGATGACGCCAATAGTGCATCTTTGATCTGCATGTCACCCACCGCCCCCGGAAGGGAAGAAAATTAAGAAGAAAAGCCAAAGAAAAAGGTGGTGTAGGCGGCCCGTTTCGGGGACCTTTTCTTCCTTTTTCTTCCTCCTTTTGTTCGTCCGGGCTTCCGCTCTCTTCCTGGCAGAGCTGGACCAAAACCAAAAGACGACATGCACCACCGCACCAGCCGGGTTACAATCTCACACCTCGCCCCTCCTTGAATACGCCGTCTAACCGATAACGCCATTGCATGTCCTGAGTGCATACGCCTCCTCTTTTTTTTCTTTTTCTTTCTTCTTCTTGGTCATTCTCCCTCATTTGAAACCTGCTCGTGCTTTTTTGGCCAAAATGAGACTGATCATCAGCAAGCCGCGAAGAAGAAGAAAAAAAAAAGGCAGGGATGAGACTTTTAGAGACATGAGACAAGGTAAAACGGCAGGCAGGAAGGCGGAAGAGGGCCCGTCCCGCAGGCCAAAGTAAGCCTGTTGTAGCTAAAGCTGAGTTACCGGCGTTGTGGGATGCTGCACGAACACACACCCAGACACACAGTACACACCAAGCCATGCCCACAATGGAAGCAATAATCTGGCCCTGTTTTCCACCTCTTCCACACAATTTACTTTCTCTCCCCCTCTCTTTCCACGAACGAAAGCCGAGCATGTGGCGCTGGGTTGCAGCGAGATCGTTCAGCAGCCGTCTTTTGTCCAGCAGCAGCCTTCATGTGATCGATCAGTAACATGTCCCAGCCATGCACATACCCACATCATAGCCAGCCTAGTTAGTCTTACATCACTCCATTCATCATACATGACTGCCTTACCAACCTCCTGCTCCTCCCCCCCGGCCCGGCCGCCGGAACCGGCCAGCGCGTGGCGAGAATGGGTGGATCCTTCCGAGGAGACGGGCGTCGAGTTGAGTTGCTTTTGCTTGCCACCCTTCCCCGGCCACTCTTTGTCACCCGGCCGTCCAAGGACTGGGAGAGGGGCTGGAAGGTCATCATATCATCATCGTTGTCATCATCATCATCATCATCACTTCGCTGCC